CGGCCAAAAATGGGCGGTAGACGTGGGAATTGAAGCCGACTTCCCCGATGCGGGCATTGAGGAAGGATACATGACGTTCACGAATGAAGAGATCCTGCAGTGCTTTGAGCCGGTGGTTAACCGCATCCTCGAGTTGGTGCGCAATCAAATTATCGCGATTCAAGCGCAGAACCGATCGCTCCAGGTATGCCGACGGATGTTTAATGTGCAGTGTCCCGTGACTGACCTTGATCCAGAACGTCCTCGTGGTGGGTGGATTCGGTGCTTCGGAGTACCTCTTCCAGCAAATCAAGTTGCATGTACCGCCACAATATCAGACCAAAGTTGTTCGACCTATGGATTCGGTTGCAGCGATTGTGAAGGGTGCCGTGACGGCCGGAATCACTGAGCGGGTAGTCACCCACCGTGTCGCTCGGCGGCACTATCTGATGGCAACGCTACAGCCATTCAAAGAAGGATATCACCCCGAACAGTACCGAGTTCCCAGTCTGGACGGCCGCGATCGCTGCAAATACACGCGGCAGATCTTCATGCAGAAGGGCGAGCGAGTGAAGATCGGCGAGCCGGTCAAGGTCAGCTTTTTTCGGCAGGTTGCCCCCGGCGCCACCCTCATGTACGAGGATATTTTGTATGCCTGTGACGAGGATGTGTGTCCGGAGTACACGAAGGACCCACGTAAGCTGCTCTTTCTATGAAAAACTGTCCATTCAGCACTGACAAAAATCCACTGCAGGCATCAAGGAAGTTGTCACCCTCACATCGGACCTGTCCCGCAAGAACCTGGAAACAGACTTCGAGCGCATGGACACACCCCAGGGAACCTTTTACCGCGTTTACTTCGACATTTACTTGACCCTCGATGGTAGCGAGTTCAGCGCGGAGCTAGTGTGCCAGGGTGAAGTAATGGGACGCTGCAGGGCCAAGTTCCGCTAGTTCCAAATACACCTCGAGAAGAAAGGGGGAAAGGGAAAGGCTACAGATATGATGATACCCGGTAGAAGAAAGAAAGAACTCGGACCCAAGGATTTCCCAACCATATGCGATATATAAATCTCATGACACACGCAATCACGCTGCACTGGGATGGCGTTTAATATTCTTTTTTCTTCTTGTTTTCCATTTGGCCCACTGACACTTCTCTTCCCTGACAATCATCGACAGATTCGCACCAGGGAACCACCCACCAACTCTGGGATATACTTTTGGATTGATTGTGCTATGCTGCTTTATATCTCTTGATACCTTTTGATCTCCAAATGCTCTGATGCAATGTAATTTGTGATTTGGTCACCATAGCCAAAATACTGGATTATGACTAGTTTGAGTCCCTGTTGCCGAAATAGAGTCTCACCTTGGTTTCCGGGCCCCAGTGGCCCGCTGAGCCCTTCTGTTAAGTTGGCACTAGCAGGATGCAGAGGATTTCCTGGTCTTGGAAGCCATGTTAGTGCAAGCATGTCCTGGTATATTCTCAACATCCTCGATCTCTCCTAGCCTAAGACAATCCCAGCCTAGGTTATACATACAGCATACGATCTTCAACAGCTCCCTACCTCTCGATCTGGTTATCTTCGTCACATAGTCAATCAAATAGTCAAGGACAAGCTGACCAAACAGCCAACCACCAACGCCCTCAAATATTGAAATGGAAAGACGGAGGCTATTGCCAGACCCACTTCCTTACCCCGTAGAGTACGATCAGTCTACTTACCAGGCCCAAAAACTGTACTTGGGTAGTGGATGTATGTGGAAAGGGGAGAAAGAGAAAGAACAAAAGAAAGAAAAGAAAGATATCGAGGTAATAGGTGTGTGAAAAGCAGGCGGCAAAAAAAAAAAAAGATCGCCAAACATCCCACTCCATACATCTTCTCTTCCTTCTATACTTGTGTATCAAAGTCAAGGTAGAAACTCACCAAAAAAAGAAAGAAAAAAGAAAAAGCCCCCCCCCCCCTCCCAAAGAGGGAAAGAAAAGAGGAAAGAAAAGGATAAAAGTGATTAGAAACCTAGAGAAAGAGCATTCCGAAAGACCCCTCCTCTCGTACGCCCCGGACCTATCTCCGTCAAGACATACCACCCTTTTCTCCATAACAAGAGAGCCGACACACACCAAGAAGCGACAACGTTTGCGCAGGGCTTGGGTGGAACTGATTCAACACTAGAAGCCGTACGGTAGGTAGGTTGGTAACCTACTTGCCTACTTGTCAAGTGATGGTTACGTACTATAGTAGTTGTTGATAAGTATATACCTCTTTTACTGATGACATTCACCATGGAAAAGTCAAGGTATACCTACAGTAGGTGTACAGTACTGTACATGCTCCAGAAATCAACCCAACTATGATCGGCCAACGGCCCTCCCCCACCCCTTCCCCCCTTTTCGCTGCCCTTCTCTCTCCCCACCGTCATCAACCATGACGACAATCCATGCATGACATAGAAGAGAATCCCACCACACAATGAAAAGCACAAAAAAAAAACAAAAGATTCGATCACGCGCCACATCTGGATAAGGGTGGTCGGTCTGGGCGTCGAAAAAGTGGGGGTAAAAGGAGGGGTGGAGGGAAGAAGGGGGAGAGAGAGAGAGAGAAAAGGGAAAACAAGCTGCTGCATGGCTTAGAAAGGAACTAATGCGTGGCGTTGGTTATCTTTATTTTCTATCTCTTTGTGGGTTCTCAAATTTGTTTGCCATATATTAGTTTGTATTTGTCTATGGCATTGTTGTCTCGATAATCGAGATACTGACGTTATGTACTAACTCTGGCCTTGATTCTCTCCATTTGCCACGAGGGCTATTTTCTTTTATACAATATACGAGAATAGCGAACGAAACCGGTTCGGACTGCATTTACATATCCTTTCTGTTTTACCCTGATTCTGCCGTTCCGAATGATCCGAGGCACAAGAGAAGCATTCGTTGAGGTTAGTAGAGTATGAACACGGAATCGATCTTGAGTGGTTCTTTCTGCGGGCTTTTTCGGATGCGAGATGGCGGTGCGCATCAGATCTTATTGGAGATGCATGTTTGCTTGAGAACCTATCAGATTCGCCTCGGATGGGGGTTCTCCGAGGTCAATCTATTGGGAACCGGGGAGCCTTGACGCCTGATCTGACGTGGTCTCTATACCAGTATTCCTTAGATGTAGAAGTTGTATCAACATACATAATCAGGAATCGGGCTTGGGTCGTGAAGCTGCCCTCGGAAAAATTGTCTGCTTGCACCACAGGGTATGTATGCCACGGTAGCCTGTGGCTCGACCATGTCGATCATGAGTGCTCGACAGACGGGGATCCTCAAGGCTGAATGATAAGAGGTTGACCTTGTATCAGTCTATCGTCGTTCCATTAGAGCCCAACATCCGAGGGAGATGCTGATCACAGACTCGTAGCCGAGCCGGCTCTCCTGGTATCTGCCCATACCTCGCTAGCAAGAATGTTCGTACACTTTGCTGAAGGATGACTGAGAGTTGCATTCCACGCATGACTTCTCGACGCAGTGGCGACAGTCTTAGAGGACGCTGGAGAAACAAGCCCAATGCAAATCCTCCGTCATGGGCAAGGACAGAGAAGGACAAGCTTGAGGGAACAGGGTTAGCGAGCAAGTCTGCAGGACCCCGACAACCGTACGGATTCAAGCCTGAACTATCACCCCACGCCAACAGTAGGACCTTCCATTTGCGGTAAATACAACCGCATGATGTCTCGCTCTTGCCCGGGGCTTCCAGCTCGGACGACATAGGGTCCCTTGAGTTGAAGCCAAACGAACGCAATTACCTTGTCGGCTCGACTGCAAGCAAGAGGAGGCGTACATCATCACTTCAGATGTAGCTATACTCGTCAGGATTTGGCTCCTCCGGGTGTCCACGAGACCATGCCTCGTTATGGCTCCCTGTCTTTAACGGTCAAGGAAAGGCTTTTCATGCATGTCTGTCAGTTGAACTCTCGGAATAACTGTCAATCATTGCCGACTGCCGTCACATGTGTCTCAACCCAAGCACATGTATGATCCAAATCCACTTTGACCAAATCAACACGGATACTGGGCCATAACCCGCAATATCATGAGCTAGGGCCATATTTTCAAAAGCGGCTTGCGTAGGTCGACAAGCTGACAGGCAGGTCTAAGCCAGCCTCCCTTTCCCGGATGATTTCCGATATCCCAGTCTTGCTCATGATTGTGGCTCGAACAGAACAGAATCTCAAGCTTGCGGAGACAGTATCCTTATCCGCGAGACCAATCGGTCATGCTGGAGATCAACGGTTAATGACACTGGCATCATCGAGGCGTTCCTGTTCAATGACGAGATTCTGGTTATTGAAACGACACGCTCGCGAAAAGCACCGTCTGCGCCATGTTGGACACCTCGCTGATCCCGGCACGATGCCTCCGACTCGTGTTATAGGTCTCGATGCAGAAGAGGTAATGCTGCCGTTGCTAACTTGGTCATCACACCGTGGGCTGAGTGCATTCGATGGGGTTATAACAAGCTCTGCTAATTCAATGACAGGTCGATAATATGCAGCTCCTCGAGGGTCAGCAAAGTGTCAGATCCACTCAACCCCAGATCGAGCATCGTGCATGATGGCAGGAAGCTAGGAAAGAGCTCCAATCTCCAAGACCCAAGCTGCCTTCACAGCGCCACTATTCGCGAACTGGCCCCGTTGTCGGTGGGCCCGGGTTGTATTCGGCTGAATTGAGCATTGGAACCAATGAGGATGGGATTATCTCGGCCGTACCAAGCGTGTGATAGTAGGTAGATGTGGTAATCCCAGGTAGGGAGACGTTTGGTGGTTAGAAGGAGAAAGGCCGAGAGCACATCGTGAGAAACGAGTCTGGAGTGCGCAGGATCACATGATGACCTATCACCTGCAAAGCCCCATACCATGGTCATGTCACATGCTGCCAGACTTCAGAACCAGGAAGACAGAAATCGTACATCGAAGAAAAGGAAGTGAGAGCCACAGCCAAGCTCGTCCATCGCCGGTTACGACCTCCATGGGGCTCCAAGCCTCCAAACCTCTGACCTTCTCCGCTTCTGTAGCGTTAATCTACCTCGCATCGGAGGGTGTCTGCAGCTATCAATTTTAGGATAAGAGCACAGGGGCGAGATTCAGCCATGGATGTGCATCCTTGCTCTCCCTACTATGATGTGCGGCGACATTAACTCCAGGCCGTGGCTAGGATTGGCCATTGTACCTCTGCTGGTTTTAGACGCTGGGTCAACAACCAGTCCTGACACAAGTACGAACGAACTTCTCTGCGCGCCCATCCTTTGTCCCGCGCGAGGGAGTAGTAGTTACCCATTTCGGCACTATCTATTATCACCACCATGCGGAAACTCGTGGAGAATCATTGCCTTGTATCGACTTAGCCAGCCGTCCGTGCACTAGGATCCCATCCTCCTAGGACCATTTGTGGCCCAGTCGAGTCCCACAGACATTGGATCGCAGCTTCCTTTGGGGCCTCGAATGCTCTATCTCTGAATCGGTCCGTAAGTGTGGAGTAAGAAGAGGAGACTACTTGGTCTGACGCAAGACTGGATTGAAGAGGGCGAGGTCAACACTATGGAGTAGTGCCGTTTGGCCCGCTGGGCTCGCAATCCTGGCCCACCCTTTGATTATCATAGATGAAGTGTAATTTCTTTTTCTCGCACCGCGTGCCAGCTTATCAGCTCGGAAGATAATGTCCTATCCACCTAGACGTTGGGATGCCTGGCCAGGCCTTCAAGAGGCGATCGCGGTGATGCTGGAAAAGGGCCGATCCATGGTGATGAACCAATTGGGAGAGGTAGAACTCCACTAGAAGCACTAAAAACTCCCTGGTCCAAAGTCTGCCATGGACAGTCTGACACGAAAGGCAACAGGTGCGATACCATAGGCGTCCTACCAGCCGTTGGTTTATCTCGGAGGATTTGACATCGTCGGTGGCGGGTGAAAACCAGAGGCAAGTGCTGTAAGCCTGGGAAGTGAGAGACACGAAACTGCTCACTAGCCGGGAGTCGATGATGAGAGGATCTAAGGTTTGCCGAAAGGGTTTGAGAGGCAACTAAAAAAGAAAAACAAGAAAGGGAAAATCGAGGTAAAATGAATTTCAGAGCCCAAGAAATCTTTTTTTTTCAAAAAAAAAGGGCAATGAAAAAGACCAAAAATGGGCAAGAAAGGAAAGGCAGCGAGGAAATTAGGTGACGAGCGGAATCAGGGAATAGGCAAAACAATGAAGAGGGAAAAAAGCGCATTCCTCCTTGAGACACCACCATCGGCAGCACCCTGAAAGGAGCAAACGTACCGGTTCGCTCGAATAATTAATTCCTTGCTGACCTGCGGCAAGCGCGCTTTGCGCGACCTGAAGCGGTTGCAGCGCAAGACCCCAGATGGGAAGAGAGTGGAGAGCTTGTCTTAGACGGTCCCGAAATCTGGGCTCATGCTGGAGAGGTGGATCGCCCGCTGAAATCTGGTAGCCTTCTTTCTTTCATTGTTCAGGTGGGCAACATGTTGTGGTTGCTGCTGCTGCTGCTGCTGCTACTGCTCCTGGTGGTGTTGCTGCGGCCACTTTTATCGCTCAATGACTAGCATGTTACTCTTCTGCAATGTATGCAATGTATGTATATGCACATCGCATCCAATCTCGCTAGTCGGTTCATGGTGTAGGGTCTGCGTCCCGTGGGGAACGCAGTAAAGGACTGGCTGTGACGGCTAGAGGGACTGCAAGGACACCTCATAGTACGTCAGAGTCGATTACATACTTTCTCTGAACGACTTAGCCTCGAGATAGTGTCACTGCCGCTCCGAACCCGTCTGACCAGTCGCAGCGTCCGAAATGGCCAGCAGGGCCGGCACGTCAATGAAGGCTGATGGAGACCTCCTAGGTGCCTTCAATCGGTCTCCAGCATGGCAGGCAGACCCCGTAGAATTTCATAGCCGCCTAATTGATGACCGTCGTCCTCTTACGTTGGAGCTGATGACCAGCCGATGCCGAGCTGATGCCGGCTCACGCAGGATCCCACGCGCTTTTTCTCGGCCCATCGCTCACTCTATCGCACAGGGGATGGAAAATGTAGGATAATTTCTCATCAATCCGGTCTGGAGACATGCCTGCCCGGCTTTCATGCTAAAGTGCGCCATTTCTTTCTCATGCTCCTTCTGTCGTCGCGAAACCGATTTCTTCTCTCCTGCGTCCGCTCCGGGGAATAAAAGACGAATACCGCTGGGGCGGAACCGCAGGAACCTGTTAGACAGGGGAATCAATGTGTTCTGAACTCGGATCGGGTTCAGCTCACGAGGTCTTTCCAATCGAGGCGCACAGACAAAAATACGCGTGGGCTCCGCCTGACGATTTTCCTGGGAAGGCGCAGAGGTACCGTCACAGCCATGACTATTCTTTTCACCATCCCCATGGTATGTGAGTAAGCGCATTAAGTTCGTGCCACACTCGCTCAGCTCGAGCGAGTAGATAGGTAATGCTACCGTCGCAAGTATACTGGAGGCTTAGTACATGCTCCGGCTGCGGATCTAGAGCGGAGACGGACCTGCGCATCGTTGGGTCTACTAAGCCACTTAGAGTTCGCCTTTCGATGGGTCCTCCTCCCCGCGTTCACCAGAAGGCCCCAGTCGACTTGGATTTTGACAAAATGCTGGATAATTTGGTTGGATCATGTGGATGCTGTCAGGTCTTTTTCTTTTTTCGGGGCGGCGAATTGCGGCTTTTGCGGGGAAAGACAGAACGTATCAGAAACCGACCCAATGTACTGAATCCGGAATGTAGAAATCCCCTTGTTGATATCGTCTGACCTAATGATGATCCCGGACACTATAACCTGCCGTCACGAATATAATTGGGGCCATTACCCTCACCGGGGGAAGGGTTTCGCCATCGTTAGTGCGGCCCCGGTCTGGTTTGCATTGCGAAGGCTTTGATATATAAGAGTGGTCAAAGATTCTTCGCAAACCGGCCTCTATCCTCAACCATCTCCCTTTTTGTGTCAGAGCTTATCTTACACTTTTCCGTACAAAGTACTCTCAGCGGGCGATGAATACCTCTATATGCGTCGGAGTCGCGTTTGCGTTTCTTTTCCTTATCATTTCGAAGATCCGAAAGACCCTCCTGTCAAGATGGGTCTCCACACCAAACAATGAGGTGAACTGCAGTGACCTCAAGCCATACCCGGCTCAACCCATCAAAGGCCGAGAGAGGTACCGAGTGATGATGGACGTCCGGAGGTTAGACGTGGCAAACTGGCTCACTGTCGACAACAACTACATGGATGAGCATGTTGTTCGGGGTCAATTATTGGAGAAGGAAAAGAGTAAAGTGCTGCAATGCCTTCCAGAGTCATACGACGCGTGCATGGAAGCATTGGAGGAGGTGGTCGACTTCCTTTGTCAACGGTTCTCGACGGTGTTCGAACGAAAGAAGTCCGGTAACGAGTGGACCATCCATAACAAGATGACGGGTGAGACGTTTGTCGTTGGTGGAGAGAATAAGGAAATCGATCCGCTCGAGGTTGCCGTGAGGTTGACGATGGAGGATCTGAGCATCCTGATGAAGAACGAAGACGACGAATACTACCTGTTAGTATACACTATCGCGACCTCATTATCGTTTACTTGGACAGTGACTGATGATTTCGGGCAGAGCGGCCAGCGCAAGTCTATTCCCGGTGGGATGGACGGTGCAGGAACGTATCGGGTGGACGATTTCTAAACTTCACAATCCTGTGCCTTTGTGGCACCAGCAAGTCGCTAACTCTGTCAGCAAGTGAGTGGCCTCCTTCATAGCTCAGCCGCGATGAGTGAGGAAAGAATTGCGGTAATTGATTTCTTCAATTCTAGATTTCTTGCTCGTCTGACTCCAGAGTCCCCGATGGAAAGATCTAATTACTTCGTCGAAGTAAAAAGACCCGACGAAGAACTGTTCGATATTCTCTACCGCCCGACTTCGTTGTCCGAAGACAATCCAGATCCATCCCCGCAGGATATTGTGATTCGACGTGAGCGTCAGACATTCCGTCGATTACCTCGTACGGGAACGATTGTGTTTGGTGTCAAGACTTTCTTGACAACATTGGAGGAACTGCCAATGCAAGAGCTGCAAAATCTCGCGAAGGAGATCAAGAGTTGGCCCGAGTATGTGGGAGAATACAAGGGTCGGGAAATTTGGGGACCAAAAGCACTCGAGTTCTGCGAAAAGAAAACTCGGATGATGGAAAAGCAGGAGGTCTAATGAGATGAAGGAAGAAAAAGAAGGAACGGAATGAAGGCAGGCGCGGAAACAGCATTGGTGGTATTTTGCCTTTCACGCTTCACGCTTCATGCTTCACGCTTCGCGCTTCGTATCCCTTCGTTGCATTTGGGCCAGCAAATCGATGGAGAGGGCGGCTGTCTGATTATTATTTGCAAAAGTCACTGTCCTTAGCATTGCATCTGTACTTTTGAGCCTGTTTTGTTTTGTTTTGTCTTGATATCCGTTGTTGGGCTGGTTGTCTGTGGTTCTACTCATTGGCATGGTAGAGATTGGGTGGTTTGTATGATTGATGAAGGTTATAACACTGAACCATAATGAGGATGACGTTTTTCATGGACAAAATTGACCTTGGATAATGTTTTTGAGCAACAGGTTGCATTAACATAAAACCATAATCATCGAATTAGGATTCAAAAAGTTTTACAGACGTTAGCGACGTGGGGATATGATTGAGATGAAACGAAGCCAGTATAGAGAAGCCGATGGATGTACCAATGGATTGGAACATCTATCGAGTATGCAATAGTTATATAGAGAATATTGTATGTTCAATTAACAGTTCTACAAGATGCAGGACGGGTATATTATGTAGGTGTCACATTTCTCAGATCTTAGATCGTGGCGGTTCATCCTGCTTGAGCCGTACGACACCCTGATTCTCTCCAGCATTAGCACTGACTCAAACCAAGTGGGGACTTCGAATACGTAGGACAGCCATACCTCTTGCGTGCATGTGGCGATAAGGATTCCATCTTTGGACCAGAACTTCTGAAGAACCAAGCCTCTTCCCTCGCCAGCCCACGGACTTTCCATCTCGGAGAACATCCATTCGTCTGCTCGGAATGCCCAGGGATTGTGAAAGTAGATCGAGTGGTCAAGGCTTACCATCATGCCCACTTCCTTGTGTTCTTTGGGGTCCTGACTCGTAGCCTTGCTCAAAGCGCCCTCTAAGCGACGGCGAAGCTCCACGGTCTCTTCCTCTTTTAGCTCCTTCAGCGCACGTGCAATGTCTTCATCATCTAGATCTGACGGGTTCTTGAGAGCTTTGAGAAGCTTCTCGAGCTCGGCCGGCGAGGAAAAGCGTGGGATATCGTGAACTCTTGACACAGTGCCGATGAAATAGCTGTCGGTAATGTATGCAAGGGCGGATAGGTGGGCACGGTGTCCTCCTGCATCGGATATCTTCCCTCGTGACCGGAAAAACCGTCTGACCTTTTTGTCTTCCGGGGCCAAGTGACCTACAAATTATTAGTCCACGACGTCAAGGGAGACCCATCACTCCGCGTTCGAATACTGACGATT